TAAGAATGATATGGTAAATGGCCTTAACTGTGATATATATTACTTCTCTATTGGGTTTTATTTCTTAAGATACAAAAAAAGAAATATTAAGTTTAATCCAAATTTTATAACAACTATAATTTACATTTACTGTTATTTATAACCAAATTTAATTAATGAATTTATAGAATTAGTTTCTTATTAAAACATATCTGGTTTTAAATGGATTCAAGCAAATGTTTCATAAAGATATGATACAATTTATCATTCAAAATGGATTTTCTATTTTTGTTTGTCACTTATTATTTTATTTGCTATATTAATTTCAAGATTCTTCTTTTTTTGATGAATAAGAAAATTTATATTTATGTATTTTCCTTTTTGATTTATAAATATTAATTACAAAAATTCAAATTAATTTTCCAACTTTAATCCATTATAACACTAAATGACTTAAGTAGATTGATATTATTTATCAATATTTTTGAAAATAACATTATTAAAGAATCTAATAAAATAATAATATTTTAAATGGAAACAAAAATTTGAAATCATCAATTTCTTATTGTAAATTTTTAGTTTAATCAGTTTATTTATTTATCTCATTTTGTTAAAATTTTTGAGTATTAATCAGTGTATGAATTGAGATTAATCAAATAGTAATATCATAATAATTATCAAATGTTAGGAATTTCTTTTATCAAAATTATGTTTCCAATGTTTTTAATTGAAAACTGTATTGAACCTTAAGGAGTTGATTGTTACAATAGTGGTTGGTCTATACCAAACAAAGTGGTGAATTGCGCAGGAAAATTATTTTTAGGTCCTTTTGGATAAATGACTACTCTATCAAAAGAATTTTATTGCCCGCCAGGTACTTATTTAAAATTATCTTTCACATCTGGAATTTTTGATTCTTGGGATCACGAATATTTATATGTTTAGGTGGATGATGAAATAATCGATAAAAGTAAATATTTTTGTTTTGATGGAAAATATATATGTCGTAACACCATTTGGTAGGATTAGTTAGTGGAGAAGGCAATTACATTTGTATCTAAATTGGGAAAAAATAAAATAAAAATTTCCATATATGATAAATTAGATCATCCTCTTGATGATGGTAATGTATACCTATTTTATAGAATCATGGGGAATTAGAGATATAAGGTTAGAGATTGGATATCCATGTGTTGATTTTTTTAGTGAATGCAATTTTCAAGGTGATTAATGGAAAATTTGTTCTGGAAATCACACAACTCCAACTAGACAAATACCATTCTAGATTAAATCAATTGTAATAATGAGTGGAATTGTTGTAAAATTAAAGAATCCAAAATATATTGGAGGTGAAACTCAAACATACACTTCAAATTAAACTTGTATGTTAGATTATAATGTATAAATCAAATTTCTAATTAGTTTCCTAGATATTAAAAGGAAATATGATATTATTAATTATTTTTTATCATTACAAAATGGCTGCTTTATTGTATAATAATTTATTTTCAATATATTAATATATTAAACTGTTTGTTTTTAAAATTTCTTGAGGTAAATTGTTTCAATGAGAAAAATTAGAACATTCATAAAAAATATAATAGGATTAAATTATAATAGGCGATTCTGATTCTGACATCTTTGAGTATAAATAATGAATTTCTAAGAGGGTTTCAATAGAAAATTAGATGAGACTAAAATTTTTCCAACTCTAAATTCTAAATAGAAACTGCAACCTTTCTATATTTTATATATAGTTTGAGGTATTTCAGAACACAAGAGTATAACATAAAAACTATCATTGTAAAAATTAAAATTATTATTTTATGGAAATTTTAAAGTATCATCTAGTTCTAGATGGAAAAGAATTAAGTTTGTTGATTAATTAGTTAAAGAATTTTTTCTTGTTTTTGAAGAGATGGAATCATAAAATCTAATCTCTTAATAGGAGAAGAAGATTGTGAAATATTTTATTTTAAAGCTTGATAACCTAAAATGGAAAATAAAAGTAATAATAACCATGTTATAGAACATCGTAATCGCAACGTTGTCATGCAGTAATTTGCTGTTAAGGATTTATAATTTAGTAATTTTAATACAAAATAACTATATCACTATATTATTATAATAAAATAAATAAAAAATATAATAAATGACTTGTCCGATTAAAAGGGAACATATTTAAAGTAATCAGAGCCCTTGATTAGGTTCCAAAAACTATTCATGAATTTAAATAGAATATTTAAACAATTAAATTATGGATACTGAATATTTAAATTTCATGTTATATAATTTTTGCCTATAAACTGCCAGTTTGTACTTCAGCCTAATTTCTTAGAATTAAATTCCTTACATACATAGTTTCATCTTATTAAACCCTTAAATTAAATTATTTCATATACTCCATAATATTCCAATAATTCCATTATTCAGACTGCTTTCCTATTTTTATCATGCTCCACAAAGGTTAAGAACAAGAAGTATATCATATGCTTTACTCAAATAAGAATTGTAAATCGAATCACTCCATTCTTAAGAAGTTTGCAAATCATTCATCTAATTAATAGATGCTCCAAAATTAAATTAAATAATATTGTCTTTCAAAATTAAATCCAAAATTTAACTATTTTTTCTACAGTGGTGAACTTGATCTGAATTTTTATTTTCTCAATCTAGGATTAATCTTTGCGATAATTTTCTACTTCCTTTTCAAAAGCTAATTCCTTCCAATTATTTGATTATCTGCCAATAAAACGATTTTCACTTGAATAATTCATTTTGTAAATTTAAATATATTTGTTATTATTTTACCAAATCTAAGATTCCAAGAAGACTTACTATGTTTTTGTCAAGAACAATAAAACCAATGGAGTTGAAATTTTTAACGATGAATTAAAACACACAATATTATAATAAAGGAAATCTTAGAAAGCATAACTACTGAAATCATTGTGTCTATTATTTGATAAGAATAATTGATACAAACGATAAGCTACAAATCGGGGAGATAATTTGAGTTTGAGATTTGATTTTAATTATGGGAATCTTCTAGTTTAAAATAATTAAACATTAAGACGGATTCTAGAAAGAGATTGAATATGAGATAAAAAATTAGGTATAATTTTCAGTATTGCAAGAAGGAAGAAATAGGGAGTTAAATAAGGTTATTTTTAAGTATGAGAAGAAATCTGAAGGTAAACAATTTTTTAGCTAGCAGATGTCGAACAAAGATCATAAATTAGCCTTGAAGTTTTCAGTTCAAATCTTAATTATTGTAAAAGATTTACTTAATGAAAATAGTTGTAATTTCAAATATATTATGATATGATAAGTTCTATTTTTAAATTATAATTTAGCTCCTATCAAGATTCCAATCTATTAATAAGGATCATAATTTGAGAAAAAACTATGAGGACTTTTGATATATGAGATTTAATAAATATATTGATTTAGAAATAAAAATAATACTTTGAGAATAAAGAAATAGATATTGATATAGTCATATAAGGTCAAACATTTGTCTTTAAAAAGTAATCTATAAGATAAAGAATTAAATTAAAAAAAATAAAATATATCTTAAGATGTTTTTCTTCAAAAGTTTGAAATTTATTAATAGATAAGCTAAAAATAGAATTTTTCATATATACTTTAGACTTATAATCGAATGATTTAAGTTAAAAAATTACTATATTATAATATTCTTTTATTAATAATATATATTTCCTTTTTATTTCTTTTTATAATAGACAATAGAAAATTTAAAAATAGATGTAAACTTATTTTATTTCCAAATTAAGTGTTTTGTGTAAAAAATACAATCATTATAAAAAAAAGTTATTTTAGTATTAGATTGATTATCATACTATTCTTATAATTCTATTAAATAAATACAAAGTTAAATTGTACCCCTATCAGTTCATTGAATATAGGTATTTAATTAAACATTTTGTATAAATTTAATATATATTTAAAATAAAGATAATGAATAGTTAACTAATTACAGTTATTATAACATTATAGCAGAGAAACAAGATTTATAATATAGAAGTAGACCCTTCAACAAAGGTCTAAGAATTAATAGATGAATTTCGTGAAATGCTTAAGCCCCTTGGAACAGAAAAGTTAGTATTATGGTACAACAACAATCCACTTAGATTAGAAAAAACATTTGAAGAGTAAGGGATTAGAAAAGGGTCAACAATGAATCTTTTTATCGAAACTCAAGGTGGCCTTTGATTTATCAATATAATCATATAATGTATAGTTTATTTATTTTTCTTACAACAAAAGAAACCAAAAAGTTTCCATCTATATGATCTAAATACATTAAAAGATTTTGGAATCATACATTAAGTACCTTAATAACATAATTCCATTCTAAATTAAACTAACATATAAATAATTATTTTACCCTTCTTGAGAATCAACATGAATTCAGTTGCTAAGATAATTAAATAAATTTAGAAGAATGGAATGCTAAAAAAAGTAAAGTTTGAAGTAAATAAGTATTTAAAAGAGATCATCATAATTTTTTTAATATAAAAACAAGATAATTGTGGACAAGTTCTAAACTCATAAATACTAATTTTTAATTAATAATTTTTATGATATACAATAAGACAAGCGTTTAAAACTTCTCAGCATTTTCTTTTAGTATAAAAATAAATTATAATATACTTTTTAGTTTATGATTGATAATTAAATAATTTTTTACTATTATTAAGAATGCAAAACGAATTAGAAGTTTTGAATATAGAAATAGTTTGTAAAATGATTTTTTTCGATATTATTATAATTTTCAATAAATAAATGAAAAATTATCAAAAATCATAAAGATTGTATTGCAGGTATTGATTTAATAGTCATCAACTATTAATTATGATTTGGCAATACGTTTATCAAAAATTTAAGTTATTGTCAATTCAATTGAAAAGATTCTGGAAAGGCATTTCATTTGTAATATCGTTAATTTTTAAAGAATATATTTATGAAATTAAAGCATTTTTTGAAATAGCTTGAAACTTTAAAATATAACTCTGATTAAAGTTATATTCAAAATTGGAAATCATTTATCAGTTGAAAAATATGCATTAAAAAGCTTTACTATGAAAATATAATCTTCATAATTTAAAAAATATTGTAGAAAACTTAGAAATCAACTTGAAATAAAGATTTTTCATATTTTGAAAAAATTATATTAATGTAGGATATTATATTAAATACCTATATATTGTAACGATTTATTCTGATTACATTGAAAAGATCTAATTTTATTGTATTAAAGTAGGGATTTGCTTGATATTCATGATATTTAATTATAATCCCCTCTAATTCCACCTTTATATAATGATTTAAATGGATTCCATATGCTTATCTTGGAATTAAATTTTTAGCATAATTCATTATAATCTTTCCCTTCTGATCTTGATCTCCCCCAAAATCACCATGATTTACTTCAGAAGTTCTACATTTTTAAGTATATCATTCTTTACCTCATAAAACTTAAATTAATGATTTTCTACTATTCTCTCCATTTTTATTTGTATCCCAATAACTTAATTCTATAGTCTCTCTTTTTAAATAAATATATCATATCTTAATTATAATTGAAATTATTAATATCTTTACTCACTATTTGATATGGATCTATATTATTGCTTTTTCTTTATTATTATTTTATAGCTTCATTTATAGTAAAATTTTTATATATCTATATCTCATAAATTTAAAAAAGCTCACAGTTAGAGAATCGTTCCAGATTATTATATATACTATTCATATTTATAAGTTAAGTGAGTAACTAGCTGTGTCTAAAGAAAGATATATAAAGATTTTGAAACTAAAAAATATTAATTGGTATATCTATTAATTTTTGTATTCTAAATGGTTGATTTCAAATTTGGCTATTAAAATTTATCATCTTAATTTAATTATATCTCAACAAGATTGAAATTGTATAATTTTATTCTTTTAATCTAAATATGTAATACAGATACAAATAAATATAAAGAGTACTTGCTAATGCTCAACTACAATTACTGTTAAAGAATTATTCAATATTATTAAATATATCATAGTAACAATTTTTTTGATTAATTTATCTTTAAATTTAAAAATTATCCCTATTAAATTAATATTTAGTTATTTTTATATCTCTCAAAGTCTGTTCTCTTTAATTATTTTGCTATAATTATAATTTAAGACCTTTTATATTTAAATATTATTAAAAATTGTTTTAAAAACTAAAATTTAATTCCTAATATTTATTTTACCAACCAATATTATTACTCATTCAATTTAAAAAAAATATACTTTATGATTACATTTGAATCGAAGCTTAATATTTATTTAATAGCTAAAAACTAAATCCAATAGATTTCTCACAAGTTATTGATAAGGCACTTAAAAAATAATAATTATTGGTATCATTAATTTAAATAATCAAAACAAAACTATAGCCATAGATATAGATATTAAACCAAGTAAAAGAATATTTTAGACATAAAATAATATTATTTTAATTCTATTTTCTTCTTAATATAATGTCAAATATAGCCAATATTATCTTTTTCAGTCTAACAAGTTTGCTTAAATTTTTCTATAGCTGTTCTAGTATTACTTTTCCATAGTAAAGATGATCCAAAGTATTTCCTCTTGATTAAATAAGAATCCATAAATCTACAACAGTCACTTCGATCCAAAAATATACAGAAAAATTGACTTCCAAAAACAATATAATCAGGATGTTCTTCTAAATTTTAAAACATAACAAACATATCCAAAGAATGAAGATAAACGGGATAAAATTAGGTGTTTTGCTGATCTTATTCTATTAAATAATGATTTTCTTGCCTTTATTCTTGATCTTGATCTTAAAGAGGGATTGATTAGAATAACATAAAACTTATTTCATTTTCATTATTATCAATATTATTTAAATTCATTACTTGTTTTTAACTTGCATCATCATTCAAGTTGATATCTTAAATTTTATGGGAGTTAACTATATAAAGGATCATAACTATTTTATAAAAAGTAATCATACAATTATCCTAATTATATTAATTATGATTTTACAATTAAATTTAGGAAATTATCCTCATTTTAAATTCTACAAAAGCAGTTTTAATAGAATGACAAATAATTTTGTATTTGATATTAGCATAGACTAAAAACTATACTTAATTGAAAAATTAGAAGAAACTTAATCATCATCTAATCTAAAATAATCAAAAATAAATTTATATCTAAACAATACTTAATATTATTGATATTTTTTAGAAATAATAAAAAGATTAGAATAGAATGAATTTCATATTAAATCATTTCTGTTTGTATTTAGTAGGTTAAATTCATTTATGAATACTGCAAAAAGCTTGATTGGATTAAGATAAATTCTTGTTAATTTTGATTATTCATTATATCCTCCTAGTAATTGAATAAATGGATTTTAAAAGTTACTTTCTGTTGTCAACTCTTAAGAAGAATATATACATTAGATTTATCTATTATGAGTTTTTAGAATATAATTTATTGGAACCAAATTATTTTTATTATCATCAAGATTAATGATAAGGTTCTTTATTTTTTCTAAGAATATTTTAGATTTGGATAGTATCATGTTGATTATCTAAACTTAGATTAATTATTAAAAGTTTTGAAATAATGAGATTAGAAGATTTTCCTGATCAAATTATAAAGAAGGGATAAGAAATAAAACTTTAAATGAATATCATAAACTTCTATTTCACTATTTAAAATATGAGAGTTGATTTCAATCAGGAGTAATCCAGAATCTTTATTTAAAGTTTACAATTGAATAATAAATCTAAAAAAGTTTTCCCGATCAAAATAATTGACACATAGAAGAAACATCTTCCCAGCCATTGTTTTTAACCTTTAGATGAACACATACATTTGGTATCTGGTAAATTCGGATATGTTCATAAAACTACTTTCATGTACGAAGAGTCTTATGCCTTACTTCAAAAGGTTCAAGCATAAGAGTAAGATAGAACTTATTTTTTGGAAATTAATTACAGAATAAGGTAATTGGACTTAAATTTCTGTTAAAGCACTTAAATTGAACTAGGCCCAACAAAAAAAGTTAGATAACTACGTAATCGGTAGTTTAGACAACATTTTCTTCAAGTACTTTAGATTCGGAGTTCCTAAAATTTAAGTTACAGAAGTTGATTATCATTATTTCTTAAAAAGATTTTGCCCAACTTTAAAAAAAATTGTTCAAAAATATGGTTGCAATAGTAATATAATATCATATTAAAATATACTATATTTAGTAGATTTTTGAATTCTTTTATCGATTATTGTAAACATTTAAATGAATAAGAAAAAAACAATCTTTTATCCTTATATAACTTAAAAAATGCTGTAAATACTTTAGTTTAATGAAAATGATAAAAATATGGAATTTAAGAAAATAAAGGATTCTCAAAGTATTGCTGATAGAATTAAACAAGATATATATGATGGTTCAATAATGTTTAATTTGTTTTCTGAAAATTAGTTTAATGATTAGAGATTTTCTAATATTAAATATTTATTAGGTTTAAAATAAGACCCCCTCTAAATACTTAAAGAGACTTCTCTTCTCTAGAAGTGGCTAGATCTTAAAGAGCAGCCTTTAAGTTATCGATTTTGACACAACGAATTGTATAACTTCTTTAGAGCAAACAAAAAATTTATGAATAAAATTCCACCTAAAATTATAAGGAATAAATTTAATCTATTCTAGACGATTAGTCAGAGCCCTAATAAAATATTAATTCCAATAGAAAAAATGTTGAATTTAATACATAATCAAATTAAAAAGATATTAATCAAATCTAATCTCAACTACTTTAAGGGAATTTATAATAGCATTTATAATAGTAAAATGGTTTTTTACAAAAGGATTTGAATGATTTAATCAATAAAATAATTGGACATCAATCTTTAAATAAAATTCTAAAGTAGTATTTTCTTAGACAATTAGTGACAGATTTACTATATATTCATAGTCAATTTCAATTTAATAATATAGATTAGGATTGTGAAATTTTTGAAAATAGAAAAATAATTGGTTTAT